AACGGGGCTTGGGGTTTTGGCTAACAAGGGAAGGTAAGGAATAACAAACGTTCTTTAAGCAATAATAAGTAAAGTAATGAAATTAAGACCTAGAATTCCCTTAGAATGCAGAAATCAACTTTTAAACAAATAGGGGAGATTCAAACAACTCTTAGGGCCTAATTCATTGTTTTGGGCCCTTACTTCAACAACCAATACTTTGGAACTCTTTTTCATTTTTTTTTTTTTTTTTTTTTTTTTTTTAACCGTGCCTATGGCACAAAAACTCACATGAATACACTTTCCCCCACACTTATTTTCTGCACACATTAATCAAAGGGAATTCATTCATGCTTACTATGCTTCAAGAACAAGGGTACGGATGGTCCTAATCTAGGCTAGGTGAAGATAATGTGGGTTAACAAAGAAAGTAGGCTACACAAGGCTCAACGGGGTTAAATCCTATAAAACAAATGAAAAGGGAAATATGGCAATTTGGCTATGGTGTTCACTACACAACTTCATCTTGAATACGTGTTATGCAAATCAATGACATGCTTTGAATGAAATGGGCATGAGTTCTAGCATTTGGAACTAAGTGATGAAACGCCTTCTAAGTAGTAACCAAGCAAAGAATAATGAGATCATGCAACGACTTTAGAAAACAATGACGCACAGATTATTACTCTCCAAATAACGTTTAGGCTCAAGTCTCACAGGGATGTATCGTTTGTTTAAGTTCATTCCTTCAAGCATGTTACAAAAACTAATTTTTATCATTTGTGATTACATGTGAATTCGTAAACTATAACGACAACCAAGCATAAACCAAAGAGTATATCAAACGTCCTTCCATGTTTGTAACTTTCTTTAACCATCATGCAATTAAAAACCAAATCCTCATCATTGCGTTGGAAGGTACCCTACGACATAAACACACAAAAACAACTTTAAAACAACTCTTTTTGGGTTTTTCAAAACAATTTTTCAAATTTTTATGGGATTTTCGAATTTTTAAGTCAAAACACACTAAAACAGTTTAAAAACATTTTAAAACAGCAAGGAACAACACTTAAAGTTATGGGTGATAAAATCCAACAAATTTGCATCAACATACTTAGTTACCCCCCCCACACTTAAATCAAACATTGTCCTCAATGTTTTAAGCTTAAAACACACCAAACAAAAGAAAACATATAAAACAACAACTAAACATACTAAACATGGCAGAATGTATCTAACAAAGAGAAGAGTTTTAGAGATGCAAATCTGGTTATGGAGTGTAAATTCCATCTTCTCCTTGGTGATTGCAGTGAGGCTTCATCTTGAGTGATTCTACAGGCTTACTCTTAAACTGCGCTACTCCCATCGTTGATTTTCCTTTGTGCTACTCTTGAACTGGGTAGTAGGCTTCCTTTGGTCTCCCCCGAAGGTCTGAGCTTCCTCCTTTTATCTGTTTCTTTGTTCAATCTCTCCAATTCGTATTGAAGAGGGTTAGAGGATAGCTCAGCAAAGCTAGGTAGGCAACCAGGGAATAGAGTCCAGATAGACTCCAAATGCCGGCTGATTGCTTCTTTCACTTTGCCATGCAAGTAATATCAAGGACAAAGGAAAAGACAGGGAAAGAGCATGATATGAGATACCTTTGCTTTTGCCCTTGATGATATGAGATACCTTTGCTTTTGAAGAAGCGGTGAATGAATCAACACATGTATTTGTGGTGCTGTTTCCTCCTGGGTCATCTGTACTCCAGGCATCTGGTATCATCTTTGGGGAAGAAGGAAGAATGGAGTATTTCGAAAGGCTTTGCTGGGAGTGCGCCTTCAGAGGTGAGAAAGAGTTGGGCACTTTCTTCAGTTCTGTCTTGCCAAAAAAAAATGAAGGTCGAGATATATAGGGAATTCAATAGCAAGTGGTGATACTGTTCTTTTACCGTTGTCGACAAACATTTTGATCCCGCAAATCCGGCTTTTTGGAATAGTGACGACTCTTCGATCTTTGAAGACGCCTCTTCGATAAAGCTGCACGCGTTTTCTGAAAAGCAGATAAAGCGTCGCCGAACTTTGCGCTTGTCGGCTAAAGACGTGTAGTTGCGATGATGGCCTCCACGTGTTGAACGCGATTTCTGAAAAGCCGAGGCTTTTTGAATTGGTGGACACGTTGCCTTGGCTTTTTATAGAGCTATCGATCACCGCCAACTTACACACTCTGAAGATTTTCCATTCTTGAAACTCGTCTCCGGCCCTTTTGAAAATCTACTCCGTCCACCCCTTTTCTTTTAACTTCGTGAACAATGGCTAGCTCATCCAACCCATCGAACCTTTGCTTAGATTTGAGTCTAAGCAGTGATCCGGTCGCGTCTCGTCAGGGTAAGGTATGGTGCCCGTCTTTCTTATCTTCCCATGGCCCTCTTACAGATGAGGACTCTGTGATGACGGATCCCACAACGGCTACGATAGTGGCTCGGAACCTCCTCACTCCCAAAGACAGTCAGCTGCTTTCAGGACGGTCCGATGAGTTGGCCGTTCAAGAATCCCTGGCTCTGAGTGTTCAGTGCACTGGCTCTGTGTCCAACATGGGCCAACGCCTTCTTGCTCGCTCCCGACAGGTTGAATCCTTGATGGCGGAGGTGGAGAGTCTTAAGCAGGAGATCAAACAGCTTAAGTACGAGAACCGAAGTTTGCACGTGCTTGCCAACAATTATTCAACAGGCATGAAGAGGAAGCTTGATGAGCTTGATGACCGTCAACGGTTTGCAGCTTTCTTCCAGAGGCACCTCTTTCCTGGGTCATCCAGCGTTCCACCAAGGTTTGGGGCCTTGAATGATCTATCTTCGGTGCCTCCCGCTCCTATGCCTTCCGCTCCGATGCCTCTTGCTCCAATGCCTTCTGCTCCGAGACCTCCTGTTCCGATGCCTCCTGCTCCGATGCCTCTTGCTCCGAGAGTGTTGCCACGTAGTGGGGCCTCACTTACTCAACCTTTGTAAAGGCTCCATCTTTCTGCCATGTTTAGATACAATTGTAATTTATCGAAAAAAATCAATGAACAAGCAAAAGTTTTATTTACTGTATTGGGTTGCCTCCCAAGTAGCGCTTTCTTTTACGTCTTGCAGCCGGACGAAGAACCCAATCACTCCAGGATATGTTCACGAATCGGATGAGAACTCCGAGTCATGAACTAGTACCTAAAACAAGAAACAAAACAAATTTAAGAATCTGGAAAAATAAAAACAAACGAAAATAAAACAATCCAAGGGATTAGCAAAGTTGCTAATCCCCGGCAACGGCGCCAAAATTTGATGCGAACTAAGTAAGCACACAAATTAAAACCCTCTTGTGACAATTGTAGTATAAGTATAAGTAGGGATCGTTCTGGACCGGGGATTAGGAGGGATTGTTAATCACTTGGATTTGACTCAAAAACGTAAAAACACAATATAAAACACTATACTAGACTCAAAGAATGCAAAACTAAACTTTAAAACACTAAGACAAACCAAAGACTCAAAATGCTTTAAAAACACAAACTAAATTGATTTCTAACTAAATTGAACAATAAAGTAAAGGGGGATTGAGTTTTGGACGAAATTAAACTAAATGCACAGATTGTAAATTAAAGCAGAATGTAAATATGAATGTGATGGAATTTAATGGATGGGAAACTAGGTAAGGGGTTCATCTCCATACATGTTATACTTGCATATAAAACGATTTCCAATTGCTTTTCAATAAACCATGAATTCTCAACCAAATATAATCAATTCATATTGCAAGCATAAACATGGTTTTGAATCACCCCCTAGCTAACTAGGGGGATTTAGCCTCTCATGTTCACAAAAAGAGAATTACAAATGAATTTAAACATAAAGCATAAAGGATTGATTACACCTAGAACGCCCAACGAATCCACTTGAATTTCGGCGCGTCCAAGCTCCTCTTTCCTCTTCTCCTTGCTGCGGCAGAGATGTTGTGTGGGTTTATTTGGGTGATTTTTCTGACTTTGGGATGGATTTAGGGTGTTGAAGTGGAAGATTTGGAGATGGTGCGGCTGATGGAGAATGATGTGTGTGATAATTTCTGTGATGTTGGATGATTTGTGGGAGGAAAAACTGGAAATATGGTGGCTGCGGCTAATTGGGTTTTTGATGGGAAAAAGTGATTGAATAATTTATGAATTATGGGATTATGGTGGCTGAATGATTATAGGTTAGTGGAATGCACGGTTTAGGGTGGGAATTGGCTGCATGAATATTGTACTTAGGTTAATGGAAAATGCACGGATGAAATGGATTAATAGGATAGAATATGGGATGGTTGAATGGTTGCATGCTTCTAAAGGACAAAGAATAATGGCAATGCACGGGTTGAAGGGTTTTATAATGGGAATAAGTGGCTACGGCTTTTTGAAGAGAATAATGGGAAGAATGGCTGAATAATAGGGTTAGTGGAATGGTGGCTTAATGGGAATGCACGGATTAGAGGATGTAAATGGGATAGTGGATGGAAAAAGGTGTGGTGGATGTGATAATGGGTGAATCAAATGCACGGTTGAATGAATAATGGGAAAGAATAATGGGAGAATTTTGGAATGGTGGAGGTAATGCACGAAAGGGATGAATGATGGGATGGTGGCTAATTAATAAACATGGAATAAATGGGAAATGGGGGGGTTATATATTAGGGTTCATGGAAAATGCACGGTTTTGGGTTAAAGGGAATTAGGGTTTATGGATGATGGATAGGAATGGTGGGATGCACGGCTTAGGAGGAAGATTGTGTGATGCATTGTTTTGGACGTCCATTCCTCGTGCTCTATTTGCATACACCACATTCCAGCTCAGTTTTGCTCCAAAAGCTCCAAATTGCATCATTTCATGTAATATGTCCTTTAAACCTGAAAACACATGAAAGTAGCTTAAAATACTACTTTAACGAAGAAAACATAACAAAAATGCATAAGAACTAGCTAACTAAGGCGCATAAATATGCTCCTATCAATATATGTGTGAAGAATTCCTGTGGAACAAAATTGCTAAAATGTCCCAGGTGCATGACAATGAAACTTCTGAAGATAGGGTTGTGGGAATCCTGTCCAGGTTGCCGCCGAAATCTCTGATGCGATTTAAATGCATACGCAAGTCTTGGAGTGCTCTCATTAATAGTCCAAGTTTTGTGGCCATACAGCTTAGCAATTCCGTTGACAACAAGCTCTTATCCTCCACTTGCATCCTTCTCAATCGTTCTCAAGCGCACGTTTTCCCAGACCAAAGTTGGAAACAAGAAGTTTTCTGGTCCTTGATTAATCTTTCCATTGACAGTGATGAGCACAACCTTCATTATGATGTTGAGGACCTACATATACTGTTTCCATTGGAAGATCATGATTACGTTCTGATTCTCGGTTATTGCAATGGGATTGTTTGTGTAACAGCAGGGAAAAATATTCTTTTATGCAATCCTACAACGAGGGAATTCAGGCAACTTCCCGATTCATGCCTTCTTCTACCTTCCCCTCCCAAGGGAAAATTTGAATTGGAAACAACCTTTCGAGCATTGGGATTTGGCTATGATTGCAAAGCTAATGAATACAAGGTTGTGCAAATTATAGAAAATTGTGAGTATTCAAATGATGAGCACACATATTATCATCGTATTACTCTTCCTCACACGACTGAGGTATATACTACGGTTGCTAACTCTTGGAAAGAGATTAAGATTGATGTATCAAGTAAAACCTATTCTTGTTCTTGTCCAGTGTACTTGAAGGGATTTTGTTTTTGGTATGCAACGGATGGCGAGGGGTATATACTTTCATTTGATTTAGGAGATGAGATATTTCATAGAATACAATTGCCTTCTAGGAGAGAATCTGGTTTTAATTTTTATTATATTTTTCTTTGTAATGAATCCCTTGCTTCTTTTTGCTCTCATTTCGATCGAAGTGAGAACTCTCAATCATGTGAAATATGGGTAATGGATGACTATGACGGAGTTAAAAGTTCATGGACAAAACTACTAACCATTGGACCATTACAAGGCATTAAGAAGCCATTGGCATTTTGGAAAAATGACGAGCTTCTTATGGTTACCTCCGATAGAAGAGCCACCACTTATAATTCTAGTATTCGACGTTTCAATTATCTTCATATTCCTCCTATTTTCAATAGAGTTGTTGATTTCGAAGCTCTTATTTACATGAAAAGTATTGTTCCACTTAAGTGAGTTGAGGGCAAAGTTCAATTTTCTCATATTTAATTTGTAAGCATGATATAAAGCTTGAATTTGCATCTTTGAATTTAATTCGCTTTGTGGCCCTTGTACTTTTTTTTTTGCCTATCATGGGGTGCATTTAGTTTTTAGGGTTAATCTCATTTTTGTACGCTTAAGTTTCTTCATTTTTAATATTTTATACATTAAGTATTTTTCGTTCCCATTTGGTATCTAAAGTCATAATTTTGAGAGACTATCATACATCTGTTTAGTTTTCCACCAAAAAATTCGGTTAACGGATGACGTGATACTCACATAGACACTAACTGAGCACCACAAATCAATATGAGAATATTAAAATAAAAAAAAAATCTCCTCCCCTTGTGAAATATCTATATACGAAAAAAAAAAAATTAAAATTTAAAAAAAAAAAAAAAAAGAACTTTTCTCTCCCTTTTTGATCTCCACCATCGCCTGCCTCTCTTCTGCCCATACATTCATGCAGCCACCTACACTTTCATGATGAGACATACTGTGGAAAATATGGAAGAGAATGCTTTTTCTCATTATATTTCTCTACAAGATTACAAGGATATATATACATGAAAAAAGGGAAGACTTATGTCCAATCACCCTAAATTAAGGGATCCAAGTGTGTAGGTAGGACGGCTTATAGGACGGCTATAGGATAGGACGGCTTATAGGACGGCTATAGGACGGCTTATAGGACGGCTATAGGACGGCTTATACTTCCAATACTCCCCCTCAAGCTGGATCAAGGAGGTTAATTGATCCAAGCTTGGAGAGCAGACTTGAAACTGAGGAGAAGCAAGAGACTTCGTGAAAATATCAGCAAGCTGATCTTGGCTTCGAGTGAATGTGGTTTGAATTACCTTGGACTGGACTTGTTCCCGAACGTAGTGACAGTCAACTTCAATGTGTTTGGTGCGTTGATAGGAGCATATTTAGGCGACTTACTTAGCTTGTTTTCGTGCATCTATGTTGTTAATTCATAGTTGTTTTAGTAGTTTAAGCCATTTTCGTGTGTTTTTAGGTTCATATGGCTAAGGAAGCAAAAAGATGCATTTTGGAGCATTTTGGAGCAAAATTGGGCTTGGAATGGATAGCATATGATTGGAGCCAAAGTGTTGGACGAATTTGAAGGCCTTGTATTCATTTTGGACATAAAACAAAGGGCCTAGCCCATTCTCTCTTAAACCAACCCCAAGGCCATGCATTTCCTTCCAATTCCAAAGCCCACAATCACTTCAAAAGCCATGCAAAGAACCATCCATTCCATCAAAAACAATTCATCAATTCACATGCAAAACCACCATTAACACACATGCACCCCAACAAAGCCAACCTAGCTAACCCTACATGCATTCTTTATGCAACTCTTCATCATTCCACCATTCATTCTTTATTCCACAAACAAGTCACATGCATTTCCACCTTCCTACTTCATCATTTCACCACATTCTCCCTCTTTAACTCATTTCATTATTCATTCACTTTGCATTCATTCAATTCCACCCCACATGCACCCTTTATTCTTCATCATTGCAACCATGGCACATTTACACCAACAAAACAACTCCCATGCCATGGCCTACTCATATTCCCATTTCCTTTCCAACATCTCACATGCATTTCCACCTTCCTACTTCATCATTTCACCACATTTTCCCTTTTATTTCCACATGCAATTCTTCATCATTGCAACCACAAACACCTTAAACAAATAGCCATATACATCTCCACTCCTCCTATAAATACCCTTGCATTCCCATTCATTCAAATCATCTCATTCACAACACAACACACCACAAACACTTCCCTATCCGTGAGTTTCTCTCCCTTAGAATCCAAAAACCATCTTCCATTTCCACCAATCCTCATCCATTTCCATAATTCCCCAACACTTCCATCCCCCCAACCAACCTATCCTTAAACCTTGTGCTACAACAACGAGGAAGAGAAGAGTGCCTAAACGTTCATACAATTCAAGTTTTGAGTTGTTGGAATGTTTAGGTGTTTCTTTGATTTCAAAGTTTCATTTTAATTCTCTTTGTTTTGTACGTATGAGAAATGGAAGAAAAGAGTGCTTAAACGTTCATACAATTCAAGTTTTGAGTTGTTGGAATGTTTAGGTGTTTCTTTGATTTCAAAGTTATGAGGAACTAAACCCCCTTTAGCTAGGGGGTGATTCGAAACTATGTTTATATTTGCAATATGAATTGATTAACTTTCATTGGAATTTCATAAGTTTTGGATTCAATTTATTTAAACCGTTTGAGTGATAACTTATTTATGAATGTTTATTAAGAATGCACGCTTAATTTTCATGCATAAATATGACGCTAGAATATAAGTGAATTTCACCTAATCGTTATGAACTTATATTCACAAGTAGTGGAGGTTGCTTATAAACAATCGTGTTAAATGAATTCTTGGCACGAGTTTCATGCTCATCATAGTAACGAATGCCTCGTCAACACTTATAGTTTTCATAATGCTTAATGATCTTTGATTGTATCTTTATTGTGCTATTCACGTAAAGGACTTTTGGAGAATGTTGTGAATTGCGTTGCGCAAACCCATCCAATTCATTAACTTAAGGAAAACTTGACGGTTAATTTAAGCGGACCTAATTAATCCGGAGTGTTGAGTTTCATAATTTATCGAAAGACCAACTGAGAATCAATCTTGTATGCAAGTATAACATGTGTGAAGAAGAACCCCTTAGCTAGCCTTCATTCCATTCATTCCATCACAAATTCATATTTACATTCCGCTTAGTTTATTAACTTGTTTTGTTATTTCAATTTTCGTCAAATCAAAACTTTTCCCCCCCTTTACTTTCTTGTTCTTTAGTGCTTAGAATCTGTTTAGTTTATGTTTTAAAGTATTTTGAATCAAGCCATAATCTTAAATTCGTCCAAAATTAGTTTTGAGTCTTTTGGTTTGTCTTAATGTTTTAAATTTTAGTTTTGCATTCTTTGAGTCTAGTTTAGTGTTTTATATTGTTTTTACGTTTTTAAGTCAATTTAGAAGGTTTTAGCAAGCCCTCCTAATCCCCGGTCTAGAACGATCCCTCACTTATCCATTGTACTACAATTGTCAAACGAGGGTTTAATTTGAGTGTCAAGTAATTCTCGCACCAAATTTTGGCGCCGTTGCCGGGGATTAGCAACTTTGCTAATCCCTTGGATTGTTTTATTTTCGTTTGTTTTTTATTTTTCCAGATTCTTAAATTTGTTTTGTTTCTTGTTTTAGGTACTAGTTCATGACTCGGAGTTCTCATTCGATTCGTGAACATATCCTGGAGTGATTAGGTTCTTCGTCCGGCTGCAAGACGTAAAAGAAAGCGCTACTTGGGAGGCAACCCAATACAGTAAATAAAACTTTGGTTGTTCATTGATTTTTTCGATAAATTACAATTGTATCTAAACATGGCAGAAAGATGGAGCCTTTACAAAGGTTGTGTACGTGAGGCCCCACTATGTGGCAACACTCTCGGAGCAAGAGGCATCGGAGCAGGAGGCATCGGAACAGGAGGTCTCGGAGCAGAAGGCATTGGAGCAAAAGGCATCGGAGCGGAAGGCATAGGAGCGGGAGGCACCGAAGATAGATCATTCAAGGCCCCAAACCTTGGTGGAACGCTGGATGACCCAGGAAAGAGGTGCCTCTGGAAGAAAGCTGCAAGCCTTTGACGGTCATCAAGCTCGTCAAGTTTCCTCTTCATGCCTGACGAATAATTGTTGGCAAGCACGTGCAAACTTCGGTTCTCGTACTTAAGCTGTTTGATCTCCTGCTTAAGACTCTCCACCTCCGCCATCAAGGATTCAACCTGACGGGAGCGAGCAAGAAGGCGTTGGCCCATGTTGGACACAGAGCCAGCGCACTGAACACTCAGAGCCAGGGATTCTTGAACGGCCAACTCATCGGACCGTCCTGAAAGTAGCTGACTGTCTTTGGGAGTGAGGAGGTTCCGAGCCACTATCGTAGCCGTTGTGGGATCCGTCATCACAGAGTCCTCATCTGTTAGAGGGCCATGGGAAGATAAGAAAGACGGGCACCATACCTTACCCTGACGAGACGCGACCGGATCACTGCTTAGACTCAAATCTAAGCAAAGGTTCGATGGGTTGGATGAGCTAGCCATTGTTCACGAAGTTAAAAGAGAAGGGGTGGACGGAGTAGATTTTCAAAGGGCCGGAGACGAGTTTCAAGAATGGAAAATCTTCAGAGTGTGTAAGTTGGCGGTGATCGATAGCTCTATAAAAAGCCAAGGCAACGCGTCCACCGATTCAAAAAGCCGACAAGCGCAAAGTTCGGCGACGCTTTATCTGCTTTTCAAAAAACGCGTTCAACACGTGGAGGCCATCATCGCAACTACACGTCTTTAGCCGACAAGCGCAAAGTTCGGCGACGCTTTATCTGCTTTTCAGAAAACGTGTGCAGCTTTATCGAAGAGGCGTTTTCAAAGATCGAAGAGGCGTCTTCAAAGATCGAAGAGTCGTCACTATTCCAAAAAGCCGGATTTGCGGGATCGAAATGTTTGTCGACAACGGTAAAAGAACAGTATCACCACTTGCTATTGAATTCCCTATATATGTCGACCTTCATCTTTTATGGCAAGACAGAACTGAAGAAAATGCCCAACTCTTCCTCACCTCTGAGGGCGCACTCCCAGCAAAGCCTTTCGAAATACTCCATTCTTTCTTCTTCCCCAAAGATGATACCAGATGCCTAGAGTACAGATGACCCAGGAGGAAACAGCACCACAAATACATGTGTTGATTCATTCACCGCTTCTTCAAAAGCAAAGGTATCTCATATCATCAAGGGCAAAAGCAAAGGTATCTCATATCATGCTCTTTCCCTGTCTTTTCCTTTGTCCTTGATATTACTTGCATGGCAAAGTGAAAGAAGCAATCAGCCGGCACTTGGAGTCTATCTGGACTCTATTCCCTGGTTGCTTACCTAGCTTTGCTGAGCTATCCTCT